GTTTAGGGTTTAAAGGGTTTAGGGTTTAGAGGGTTTAGGGTTTAGAGGGTTTAGGGTTTAGAGGGTTTAGGGTTTAGGAGTTTTTAAAAAGAACTCTTTTTTTTAAGAGTTTTATTTCTTTTTTGGACTTTTTTGGAGAGTTTTATTTCTTTTTTCAATTCAAATTCAACCCCACAACTCTCCTCTTCTCCACTTTTCTTTATTTCTCTTTTTTTCGTTTTTTTTCCTTTTTTTCCGTTTTTGGCACTTTTTCACTTTCCAGTTTTCAAAGGAGTCCCTTCTCGATCTTTTTAATTTGTTTCATTCTTTTATTATTTATTTATTTATTTATTTGTTTATTTGTTTGTTCATCATTAGTATTTGTTTATTTATTTATTTATTTATTCATTTATTTATTTATTTATTTATTTATTTATTTATTTATTTTGTTTGTTTTTAACTTTTTTTATTTTCAGGATTTTGGAGATGCTGACGACTTCGGGCAATTTGTACTCCGTGAGATTTACAGATGCGGCAAAACAAGATGTGAGAAATTAATTTAATTGATTTAATTAATTTAATTAATTTAATTAATTTAATTGATTTAATTAATTTAATTAATTTAATTAATTTAATTTAGTTTAATTAATTAAATGAAGCTAATTAATTTAATTAATTTAAATTAGTTACTTCAATTTGATACAATAAATTTAATTCTTATAGTTCAATTTGCCTCAGTTTAATTAATTTGACTGATTTAATCATTTATTTATTTATGAGTATTTACTTCCTTATTACTATTTATTCATTAATTTATTTATTATTAATTAATTAATTTATTTTTGCAAACAAATAACTCCCTTTTGGTGTTTAATTGTCTTCAATTAAACATCTTTAATGCAGGAAGTGCAGCGGCAGTTTATTGAACTTTACAATTCTCCGGAAAAACTCCAAAAAGATTCCACGGAAAAGAAATACAGAAGCAGCAGCAAATCCGTGCTGCGGCAGTACACAGCCAAACACCCAGAAGCAGCAGCAGCAGCAGCAGCAGCAGCAGCAGCAGCAGCAGCAGCAGCAAAACGCACTGAGACTTCCGCCTTCGGCAGCGCCCGCTCCGCTTCGGGGCCTGTTGTTGGCAAGTCTATTTTATTAATTAATTAATTAATTAATTAATTAATTAATTAATTATTATGTATTTATTGTTTATTATTTATTTGTTTATTTATTCATTTATTTATTTATTTTATTTATTTTATTTGTTTATTTATATATGCTGCAGCATTAATGCACGTTCTGCAGAGGAGCAAATACATCGAGCGAACTGGAAAGAATGAATTAAATCAAATGAAATAAACAAATTAAATAAATAAAATAAATAAATAGACAAAACAAATAAATAAATAAATAAATAAATAATTTATTTATTTATTTATTGCGAGTTTAGGACTGGAGTTGAATCCGCAGACGCTGCCGACGGCTGCGTTGGAGCCGCTGAGCAGCAGCAGCAGCAGCAGCAGCAGCAGCAGCAGCAGCAACTTGCAGCTGCTGCTGCCAGCGCCGCAGCAAACAGCAAAGCTCGCGGGGCTGCTGGGAGTGGACTGGGGCTTCGACTTGCTGCAGTTCGCGGAAGAGTCCGAAGAAGTTCTTTTGGAAGTTGGATTTTGTTTATTATCTCCTTTGCTATCTGTGGGGTGGGGGTGTACAGACACCGCACTGGCTGCTTTTTTAAATGCCATCCAGTGTCAGTACATCCGAAATCCTTACCACAACAAAACGCATGCAGCAGCGGTGGCCCACTTGGCCCACTGCCTCGCCTCCATGCTCGACTTACAGCCCTCGTGAGCCACGCACTGCATGCGTTTGCATGCATGCATGCATGCATGCATGCATGCGTGCATGCATGCATGCATGCATGCGTGCATGCATGCGTGCATGCATGCGTGCATGCATGTGCATGCATGCGTGCATGCATGCATGCATGCATGCATGATAAGACGACAGCTCACGTGTGAAATAAAAAGAAATAAAATGAATAAAATGAATGTTCAAAGAATAAAAAAGAATGTTCAATAAAAACAAACATTAATAAACAATAATAAACACTAATTAGAATCAAATAAACCCTTTAATTTCAGTTAAAATGGCATTTAAATTCAATTAAAAAGAAATTTAAATGTTTTTTTTCAAAATGAACTCAATGAAATGAATATGAATAAAATGAATATTCAGAAAATATAAAAAAGAATACTAAATAAAACAAACACCAATAAACAATAATAAGCACTAATTAAAACAAAATAAACCATTTAATTGCAATTAAAGTGGCATTTAAATTCAATTTAAATGCAATTTAAATGTTTTTTTTGCAGAATGAATTCAATTGATAGGGCCACTTTAACTGTTGCAGCTCTTTGCCACGATGTGGGACATCCCGGAAGAAACAACCAGTTCTTCGTCAACTCCTACGACCCCCTCGTGAGCTAGGGTTTAGGGTTTAGGGTTTAGGGTTTAGGGTTTAGGGTTTAGGGTTTAGGGGTTGCCTTCGAATCGTCCCTTCTCTGTGCGCAAAAAGGCCATTGTTTCTTTTTTTGAATTTTTTGAATTAATTTAAATTTTTTTAATTAATTTTAACGAATTTAAATGAAATAAAACGAAATAAAAAGAAATAAAGAGAAATAAAGAGAAATAAAAAGCGATAAGAAAGAAACAAAAGGAAATAGAACGAAATAAAATGAGATAAAGGAGATAAAACTAAATATAATGAAATAAAACGAAATGAAAGGAAATAAAAGGAAATAAAAAGAGATAAAGGAAATTAATCGAAGTAAAAAGAAATAAAATAAACTAATCGAAGTAAAAAAGAAATAAAACAAATAAAACAAATAAACAAATAAAACAAATTGGATTAAATTGTTTCCTCGCAGGCTGTGATTTACAACGACCAGGCGGTGTTGGAAAACTTTCATTCTTGTTTGACTTTTCGAACTTTGGAAAACAAAGAATGCAACATTTTCGCCAACTTGGAGGACTCAGTGAGCCTCTGTTTATTTATTTATTTATTTATTTATTTATTTATTTATTTATTTATTTGTTTGTTTTATTTGTTTGTTTATTTATTTGTTTGTTTTATTTATTTATTTGCTTTATTCGTTTGTTTTTTTGGTTTTTTTATTTATTTTATTTGCTTTAGAATGCAACATTGTCGCCAACTTGGAGGACTCAGTGAGCCTTTGTTTAATTATTTATTTATTTATTTATTTATTTATTTGTTTATTTATTTGTTTATTATTTGTTTGTCTTATTTATTTGTTTATTTGCTTTATTTGTTTGTTTTTTTGGTTATTTATTTATTTTTTTTGCTTTAGGATGCAACATTTTCGCCAACTTGGAAGACACAGTGCGCATTTATTTGTTTATTTATTTGTTTTATTTGTTTTATTTATTTATTTATTTATTTGTTTGTTTATTTGTTTATTTATTTATTTGTTTATTTATTTGTTCATTTTATTTTTTTATTTATTTGTTTTATTTGGTTTAATAAACGGAAAGAAAAAGTGCAGTTTGGGGTGTACGTACAGCTGCGGGGTGTCTCGACAGCTTGCATGCAGGGAATTCTTTTTTGTTTTTGAATTTGAATTTAATTTCTTTTCTTTTGAATTTAATTATTTAATTCAAATAATTATTTATTTCTTTTTATTTATTTCTTTTCAGGATTTCCGATTTGTTCGACAAAATATAATTGCATGCATTCTCGCCACGGACATGAAGCAGCACTTCGAAAGCATTTCGCGTTTTAGAGTAATTCAATTTAAATACTTTTTTATTCTTTTTAATTAATTGATTAATTTATCTATTTATTCTGCTTGCTTGCTAATTGATTGATTAATTTATTTATTTATGTTACTTACTTATTAATTAATTAATTAATTAATAAGTAAATTATTTATTCTATTTACTTATTTATTAATTGATCAATTAGTTTATTTATATATGCTATTTACTTACTAATTGATTAATTAATTAATCAATTTATTTATTTTATTTACTTGTTAATTAGTTAATTAAATTATTTATTTATTCTATTTACTTATTAATTAAGTAATTTATTTATTTATTTATTTATTTATTTAAAATGCATTTATTCATCTTTTTGGTTTTTTGAAATTCCGAATTTTTCAGGTCCGGCGAAACTCTCCGGAGTTTAGCTACACCCGAAATGCAGAAGACAAATGGTAATTTCAAATTCAATTATTTTATTTGTTTATTTTATTTTGTTTATTTATTTTATTTTTTTTTATTTATTTATTCTATTTATTTTATTTTTCTTATATATCTGTTTTATTTTATTTATGTGTCCGATTTGTTTTATTGCATTTATTTCATTTATTAATTTTTTAATTTAATTTATTTTATTTATTTAATTTATTCCACTTATTTTATTTTACTTTTTCAGTTCATTTAACATGTAGTGTATCTGTATTATTTATTTTATTTGTTCCACTTGTTGTACTTATTTTATTGCGTATTTGTTTTATTTGTATTTATTTGATTTTCCTATTTCTTTTATTTAATCCATTTTTATTAATTGATTTTTGATTTGTTTGAAATGTTTTTATTGTTTATTTCTAAGTTTAATTTGGTTCAAATTCAAATTCGATTTTAATTCAAATTTACTTTTAACTCGAATTCAATTTAACTTAACTTTAAATTTAAATTCAAATTTAATTCAAATCGAAATTTAGTTTAAATTCAAACTGAATAAAAATTCAACTTTAATTAAAATTCATTTAAAATTTAATTAAAATTAAATTTAATTTAAGTTCAAATTTAATTAAAATTTAATTAAAATTTAATTAAATTTGAATTCAAATTTAATTAGAATTTAATTTATTTTGAATTCTTTAATTTTTTTAATTTTTTATTTTTAGGTTAGTTGCGAAGATGTGCATCAAAGTTGCCGACGTGGGACATGTAAGTTTATTTTTAAAATTAAAATTAAAAATAATTTTAAAAATAAAAAATGAATTTAAAAATTAAAAGCAATTTTAATAAAAAACAGTTTTAAAAGTAAAAAATGATTTTTAAAATCATTTTTTACTTTTAAATTAATTTTTAAAAATAATTTAAAGTAAAAAATCGATTTGAAAACAAAAAATGATTTTGAAAAGACTAAAGTGATTTTAAAAGGAACAAAATGATTATAAAGTGGTTAAAATGATTTCAAAAGGACTAAAATAATTTTAAAAAGATTAAAATGATTTTTAAATGATTAAAATGATTTCAAAATGATTAAAATGATTTTAAAATGATAAAATAGACAAAAGGACAATAACCAAAGACAAAAAAGATAAAAAGGATTAAAATGGAAATGGCAAAAAGAAATGTTTTTTGTTTTCGTTTGATTTTTCAAAAACCAAAAAAGTTCATATTGATTTCTTTTACTCTCTTTTTAACATGTTTTTAATTTCTTTTTAATTTCTTTTTAATTTCTTTTTAATTTCTTTTTAATTTCTTTTTAACTTATTTTTAATTATTTGAATTCAGGCGAGCGTTCCTTGGCCTCAGCACTTCCAGTGGTCTTGCAGAGTGGTGGAGGAGTTTTACCAGCAAGGAACGGAAGAGTTGGAGCGGGTGGGTGGAAAGTAGCGAAAAAAGGGGAATTTTGTGGATTTTTTTTGCAAAAAAAGGATAATTTGGAATAAATATTTGAAATAAAAGGAAAATAAATCAAATAAAACGCAAAATCGCGAAAAAACGAAGTGTTCAAGTCGCGATTTGCGCAAAGTCGCACCCGCACGCGAGGTGTACGTACACCCCAGCCGCATGCATGCATGCATGCATGCATGCATGCACCTGAGGTGTACGTACACCCCACTGCGCAGGGCCTTCCGGTGTCGCCTCTTTGCGACCCCCAAAAGCATTCCGACATGGCCAAAAGTCAAAATGGATTTCTCGAATTTGTTGTCAAACCTCTTCTCAAAGAAATCGAAGAAATCGAACCTTTCGCATTCGTCAGGTCAGTCCGCACGCAGCAGCAGCAGCAGCAGCAGCAAAGCAGCAGCAGCAGCAGCAGCAGCAAAGCAGCAAAGCAGCAGCAGCAGCAGCAAAGCAGCAAAGCAGCAGCAGCAGGGCCTTTGTGTTTGTTCAATTCCTGTTTGTCCTTTATTGTTCAAATTAATTTTTTAATTAATTAATTAATTAATTAATTTAATTAATTATTTATTTATTTATTTTTCTTTTTCAGGGATACGGTGATGAAGAACCTGGAGTACAACAGCTCCCGGTGGCAGCAGCTGCAGCAGCAAAAAGTCACAATTGAACTAAACAGCAGCAGCAGCAGCAGCAGCAGCAGCAGCAATGCCAAAAAGATAAGTACTTCAACAACATCAGCAGTTCGAAAGATTGCAGGTTTAAAAAGGGCCCCTCAAAGCCATGCGGGGGCCCCCAGGGGGGCCCCCTGAGAGCCTCCATGGGGGCCCCCAGGGGTCTTTAAATGAATCGGAGGGGCCCCACAGTATGCCCACGCAGCTGCGGGGAGATTTAGAAGAAGCTGAAAGGGAAAATGCTGCTGCTGCTGCTGCTGCTGCTGCTGCTGCTGCTGCTGCTGGGGAGAATGGGCAGCCTGCAGCAGATCCAGCAGCAGCAGCAGCAGCAGCAGCAATGCCGCCAGTTGCAGCAGGTGAGGCTTTGGCAGCAAATAAATTCTTTTTATTTATTTTGCCATTTTTGCCGTTTTCAGTTTTAATTTATTTTTTGCCATTATCATTTTATTTCTTCTTTATTTACTTTTTATATATTTACTTTTTGTTGTTTTGTTTATTGCTTGTTCTTTTATTTATTATTTACTCCTTTGTTTATTATTTATTCTTTTGTTTTTGTTATTCTTTTATTCATTATTTATTTTTTTTATTTGCCACTCTTTGATTTAATATTTATTCTTTTATTTATTCTTTATTTGCTATGTATTCTTTATTTATTTTTTATTCTTTTATTTCTCTTTTTGTTATTTATTCATTTATTAGTTATTTATTCTTTATTATCATTTATCCTTCGCTTTCCTCTTTTTGTTTATTTTTAAAATTTCTTTTTTAATTCCTTTTTCTCCTTTTTTATTTAATTCGATTAATTTAATTTAATTGACACAATTCAATTAAATTCAATTAATTCAATTTAATCTAATTTATTTAATCATTTAACTATTTATTTATTTATTTATTTATTTATTTATTTATTTATTTATTTATTTATTTATTTATTTTTGCATGCATGCATGCAGCCCCACCGGATTCGCCGCAGAGCATGGAGTTGACTTCTCCGGGGGGGAGGTGGGCGTGGGAAAAGTGGAAAAGAAAAATCTTTTTTTTAATTCTTTTTAATTCTTTTTAATTCATTTTTAATTCATTTTAATTCTTTTTAATTCTTTTTAATTCATTTTAATCCTTTTAATTCTTTTAATTCTATTTCCCTTTGTTTCCCCTTTGCAAGTTTGCTGCAGCTGCATTTAAACCGCTCCAGAAAACCCCAAAGTGCCGCTGCTAGGGTTTAGGGTTTAGGGTTTAGGGTTTGGGGTTTAGGGTTTAGGGTTTGGGGCTGCAGGCTTTTGCTGCTTTTGTTTTCTTTTTGTTTTCCGCAGCCGCAGAAAAGTTCGAATTTCAACTTTGAGTTTTTTGGAGTCTTCTTCGCGTCCGCCGGACCTCTAAACCCTAAACCCTAAACCCTAAACCCTAAACCCTAAACCCTGAATTTGAGGGGAGTGCCCAACCAAAGGACCTTCATTATTATTGTTTGTTTACTATTTATATTTATTTATATTTATTTATATTATATTTATTATATTTATTATATTTATTATATTTATTTGTTTGTTATTTGTTTATTATTTCGCAAATCAAAGTTTTGGTTGGAGTGCAGATCAGCTGCAGATGAGCACTGGGGTAACTTGCTGCAGCAGCAATTATGCTGCTGCTGCTTTTGAGCTCTTGCTGCAGCAGCTGCGACAACGCAGTTAGCTGCTGCAGCAGATCAGCACCGATTGTCTGCTGCTGCTGCTCATGCTGCTGCTGTTGCTGCAGCTGCTGTTGCTGCAGCAGCTGCTGCAGCTGCTGCGGCTGCTGTTGCTGCAGCTGCTGCGGCTGCTGTTGCTGCAGCTGCTGTTGCTGCAGCAGCTGCTGCAGCTGCTGCGGCTGCTGTTGCTGCAGCTGCTGCGGCTGCTGTTGCTGCAGCTGCTGCAGCTGCCGTTGCTGCAGCTGCTGCAGCTGCCGTTGCTGCAGCTGCTGCAGCTGCCGTTGCTGCAGCAGCAGCTGCTGCTGCTGCTGCTGTTTGGGTCCTGCTGCTTTGAGGTCGTGGATGACCTGCGGAGAAAGGAAAAGTGCTTTTATTGCTTTTAATTGAATTGTTTATTCTCAAAAAGAAAAAACAATTAAATTAAAAGTTTCAATTCTTTAAATTTGTAAAAGTTTTAATTCTTTAAATCCGTAGAAAGAAAATCCACACAAGAGTTCTGCGCTGCAAAAACAAAGTCTTTAACTTCGAGTTTTTCGCAGATATTAATTAATTAATTAATTAATTAATTAATTAATTAGTTAATTTTATTCATTTATTTATTTTATTTATTTATTTATTTTATTTATTTACTTATTTTATTTATTATTTATTTATTTTATTTATTTATTTATTTATTTATTTATTCCCTCAGCAGTTACCTGCAGGTCGTGGGCCACCACGGCGACGGGCGGCGGATTTTCTGCAAATAAAAAAAAGAATTAAAAATAAAATTAAATTAATTTTAAATTAATTTAAATTTAAATTAATTTAAATTTAAATTAATTTAAATTTAAAATTGGAAACAATAAATGAAAACAATTTGAAATTAATCTGAAATTCAAAATAATAAAGCATTTAAATTCGTTTTTCTTTTTCTTGAAATTAAATTCACTTTTTAATCCAAAAGCGCCACAAACAGATACGTTTTTCTTTTTCATTAAAATGAATGAATTAATTAAGAACAAACAAGTGAATTAAATAACAAATAAATTAATTAATTAATTAATTAATTAATTAAAATGAAAAAATAAATAAATATGTTAATAAAAAAAATAAATAAATTCGCATTTAATTTTTCCTTTTGGATCTCAAATTATTTTCAAAAAAGACCCACCCGAGGAGACAGTCTCCATCAACTGCTGCAGCGCAGCGGCGGTCTCTTCGTCTGAAAATAAATAAAAATAAAATTTAATTTGATTTAATTTAATTTAATATAATTAATAAATAGAAGTAAATAAAATTTAATTTAATTTAATTTAATTAAAATAAATAAATAGTAGTAGTAATGCCACAGAAAGAAGAGCTGCAAAACAGCGAGGAAATGGTGTTGATAAATTAAAAAAAGAATTAAAATAAATTATTGAAATTTTTAAAAGTATTCCGCCGAATGCTGGAATGTAAAAAAGACAAAATTATAAAAGGATAAAAAAGGGAAAATGATTTTAATTGCAAAAGTAATAAATGCAAATTGAAATAAAGATTTATTTGAAGTTGCATTTTATTTGTTAATTGCAATTGGGAAGATAAACCAAAAAAGGAAAAGGAGAATCATGAATTTATTTGCTTAATTGTTTATTCGTCTGTTTGTTTAATTGTTTAGTTTTTTAATTGTTTATTTATTTATTTATTTATTTGTTTATTTATTTGTTTGTTTGTTTGTTTATTCGTTTAATCGTTTATTATTTAATAACTCGAAATTCAGATTGTTCAAAAATCGGTGAAGTCCTCACCCTCTTCAACTACAACTCCGTAGGGGCTGACACAAGCGGCAGTCAAGACCACCAAGTCAATTGCTGCGGAAGAAAAGGAACAAATAAGGGAAATAAAACCAAAAAAGCAATAAATTAAAACAAAAAACAATAAAAATAAATAATAAATGATGAATAAGTAAAACAATTCGACAAGAAATCCCCAAAACAAATTCGAAGGCCGGCGCAGAAGATCGGCGGTGCTTCTGCGGTGTACGTACACCTGAACTGGCGCGCGCACGCCAAGAAGTGAAAGAGAAGAAAAGGAACTTCAAATGCATTTTAAATTAAATTTGAATTAAATTTAAACCTTTTTAATTCTTTGTTTTTGCATTTTGATTTATATTTGCGTTTATATCCGCGTTTGCATCCCTTTTGATTGCCACTTCCAGGTGTACATACACCGCAGCGCCTCATGTCGGGTTTTGACGCTTTCAGCCTCGCAAGCTTCGCCATTTAAAAACAATTTAAATTCTTTTTTGTTTTTTTTTCTTTTCAATTCAATTATTTCTTTATTTTTCTCTCTTTTCTTCAAACTAGATCCAAAATCGCCAACCAGCAAAACGCGTTTGCTGCGCTGCCTGCGGCGCCCCAAGAAACGAAAAAGGCAGCAAAAAACAATTAACTATTAAATGATAAATAATTAATTAATTATTCAATATTAATTAATTAGTTAATTAATTAATTAATTTATTTATTTATTTATTTATTTATTTATTTATTTATTTAATTAATTAATTAATTAATTAGCTGTTTATTAAAGAAGCCACAGGGGAAGCAAACAGAGAATTCATCTGCAGTGTACATACACTGGATATACACGGTGCGTAAACGAAACTAAAAATAAAAAATAAATGCATTTATTTTTAATTAATTGCATTATTAAACAAACATCAGCACTTCACATTTGCATTTAACATATTTGGCTTTAATAAACATATTTAGACCCATTTGAAGCAGCACTTGGCTGTACACACACCTGAAGCGCATGCATGCATGCATGCATGCATGCATGCGCTTCAGGTGTATGTACAGCCGAAAACGCCCGCCCGTAAATAAGCGCATGCAATTAAATGCAGCATTTTAAAGAGCAAAAACAGCAGTCTTTGCTGCCGAATCATTTGAAATAAAACCCCAAAGATCATTTTAAATAAAAATTAAATTAAATTAAATTAAATTAAATTAAATTAAATTAAATCAAATTAAAATTAAAAGTTAAAAAGCACCACAGCGGCTGGGCCCTCAGGGCCTTCAAAGCAATCTTCTCTCCCTTAAAACTTTCTCTCCTTTCTGGCCCCAGGCCCCCACTTGCATCGCTGCTGCTGCTGCTGCCGCTGCTGCTGTTGTTGCTGCTGCTGCTGCTGCTGCTGCTGCTGCTTTTTGGCGCAGCGCAGCGCTGCAGCAGTCCCTCTGTGTGTCTCCTCAGGAAGTTCTTCAAAAGATTTTTATCCACCAAAACTTCAAAAGTGGAAGGCAGCAAAGATGCCAGAAGCGGAGACCGCTTTGCTGCTGCTGCTCTTGCTGCTGCTGCTGCTGCTGCTGCAGTTGCTGCTGCTGCTGCAGGTGCTGCTGCTGTTGCCGGTGGTGCTGCTGCAGCTGTTGCCCGTGCTGCTTCTGCTGCTGCTGCAGGCGCTGCAGCAGCAGCAGGTGCCGCTGCTGCTGCTGGCGGCGCTGCTGCTGCTGCTGCTGCTGCTGCTGCAGCACATTCGACGGGGTGTCTGTACACCGTATATTGGACCCTGTTTCGGAGAGCGGCGGCTTTGGGTGTATCTGCAGGTTTTGGTTTTTCGCCATTAAGACTTTTAATTTCAAAACTTTTAATTTCATCAAAACTTTTATTTTCTTTTTTTTCTTTTTTGTCTTCAAATAATTTCTTCAAAATGGAAAAGTGGTCTGCAGAACAAAGCCGAATGTGCAGAGGCGCAAACTCCCGCCAGCAGCAGCCTGCTGCTGCTGCTGCTGCTGGCTCTGCTGCTGCTGCTGCAGGTTCTGCTGCTGCTGCTGCTGCTGGTTCTCCTGCTGCAGCTGCTGCTGGTTCTCCTGCTGCTGCTGCTGCTGGTTCTCCGGCTGCTGCTGGCTGTGCTGCTGCCTCTGCCGCTGGTTGTGCTGCTGCAGGTGCTGCTGCTGCTGCTGCTGCTGCTGCTGCTGCTGCTGGGTTGGGGTGTCTGTACAGCTGGAAGGGGGAAAGGTCGAGGAGGTGGAACTTTCTGTTTCTGAAAAGTTCTTTTTCTTCTTCTCCTTTTAAATTGCAAAACAAAGAAGGAGGCAAAAAGGGAATTAAACGAAAAGAACACAAGTACCGGCTTCGGCTCGCAGAACCCACCTGACACCCAAAGCACCAAAACCACAAATTAGGGTTTAGGGTTTAGGGTTTAGGGTTTGGGGTTTAGGGTTTGGGGTTTAGGGTTTGGGGTGCTCCAATCTCCCCGCAGCAGCTGCTGCAGCACTAGCGCTTCTAAACCTGGATGCTGCTCCTTACCTGTGACTGCTGCTGCTACCTTTGCTGCTGCTGCTGCTGCTGCTGCTGCTGCTGCTGCTGCTGCTGCTCACTTCTGTGCACTCGTCGAGGACTAGCTCTAGAAGGTATTTGCCTTGTGAGCAGTTCGAAGGGGTTTCTTCACTTCCCAAAGAAAGACGAGACATAACCGACGCCAAATCCTGCTGCTGCTGCTGCTGCTGCTGCTGCTGCTGCTGCTGCTGCTGCTGCTGGTCCTTGCGTTTCTCTTTTTTGCTTTTTCTGGGGGCCTGCGCTGCTGCTGCTGCTGCTGCTGCTGCTGCGTCTGTGGGCACTGGCAGCAGCGGGGGGCTGGTGAGGGGCCCCAGGCCCCACAGCTGTCCAGACTCTTCATAGAACTCCCTGGCTGTGCATGCGCTGGGGCTTTCCTGGGTCCTGGGGGGCCCCCCGGGCCCGGGGGGCCCCCCCCGCGGCAGCAGCCCGCGGGGGCCCCGGAACTCCCGGCGGCCCCCGAAGTCCGTCAAAGAAGAAGCCTTGCTGCCCCCGCTGGCGTTGTACAGCAGCGCGAACCACTGGTCACCCCAGTGGACCAGTGGCAGCAGTCCAGCGGAGGTGGGGGGCTGGGGGGG